CCTTCTCTGTACAGAACATTTTTATCTTGATATGATCCCATTTGTCCAAACTGCTTTGGTTGCCTGTGCTTTTCAGGTCTTACTCAAGAAATCTTTGCATAGACCGATGTCCTAAAGCCTTTCCCCAATGTTTTCTTCTAGTAGTTTCATAGTTTCAGGTCTCATATTTAAGTCTTTAACCCCTATTAATTTGATTTTTGTAAATAGTGTGAGATGGGGGTCTAGTTTCATTCTTTACAATTAAAATTTGAAGTCAAATCAGATAAAAATCTTAATAGAAAGGTTGTAATTTTTAGAATACGGAATAACACAAAATAAGACTCTAAAAATATGATTTACAGATGTAGTTTTGGAGGTGATGTTCTAATCTAGATAATGTCTCCAGAACTCTGTAAAATTTTCACACAAAGTAGTTAGAAATAATTAGAAGCAACATGAACTTTTATTTGGGTATGGTGCAATCCTTTATTTTAATATCTGCATTTTAGTTAATTCAAGTATCTGCATTTGGTTCATTAATTGAAATTATTTGTTCCACTCTGCTGAATCAAAAAAAGTTGCCTGACCACCTGATCAAATCCTCATTTTATTTTGAAGCAAATAAAAAATGTCATGGCCTATAGTTTAACAGTTCTTGCAGTAAACAACAAAGATACATGCTGGGTTGACAATTTAAAATCACCAAAAGCAGATTATGGCCATTCACAGCAAATTAACAACAATTATGAACTTCCAAAGGAAATTTGCTGTACTCTGGAGTTAAAGCAGTTGTCTCCTAAATAAAACCAAACTCCAATTCAGTTATACAACTTGAGCATAGTCATATTTTTAAAATAATCTTTGCCTGAGTCCCAAGTCAAAAACTATAAAAAGCTACACCAGAAGAATTATGCCAATCCCGGCACCCTTCACCCGTTTCATCCCTGGCTCTTATAGGCAAAAATTTTCCCCCAAAGTTTCTTTTTCATCCTCTAGTATTTCTTCATGCAAAAACTATAATAGGTAAATACATATTCTCATTTCCCCTGGTCTCTTATGCAAAAAAAAAACCAAAAAAAAAACAAACGACTTGCTCACAGAATGCCCTGCCACCTTTCTGAAATGAATCTTTCTCAGTTTAATTCTGATCTGTATTTTTCTTATTATGAGTAAGGAAAGGTGGTTATTATATATTTAAAGACCTTAAATTAAAAAGCACAGCAGAGTTTGCAGACAGCCCAGAGTGGGAGAAAATCTTCACAATCCACACATCCGAAAACGGACTAATATCCAGAATCTACAAAGAACTCAAATCAGCAAAAAAAAAAAAAAAAAATCCCATCAAAAAGTGGGCTAAGGACATGAATTAGACAATTCTCAAAAGATCTACGAATGGCCAACAAGCATTTGGAAAAATGCTCAACATCACTAATGATCAGAGAAATGCAAACTGAAACCACAATGCAATACCACCTAACTCCTACAAGAATAGGCATAATTTTTAAAAAATGAAAATATAATAGATGTTGGCATGGATGTGGTGAAAAGGTAACACTTTTCCACAGTTGGTGAGAATGTAAACTAGTACAACCACTATGGAAAACAGTGTGGAGATCCTAAAAGTAGATCTACCATTTGATCCAGCAATCCCACTACTAGGTATCTGCCCAGAGGGGGAAAAAAAAAGTCATTACATGAAAAAGATACTTGCACACGCATGTTTATAGCAGAACAATATGCAATTGCAAAAATATGGAATCAGCCAATATGCCCTATATATACCATGGAATAGGAATACTACTCAGCCATAAAAAGGAATGAAATAATGTTATTTGCACAACCTGAATGGAATTGAAGACTATTATTCTAAGCGAAGTAACTCAGGAATGGAAAACCAAACATTATATGTTCTCACTTATAAGTGGGAGCTAACCTATGAGGATGCAAAGGCATAAGAATGATACATTGGACTTTGGGGACTCAGGGGAAAGGGTGGGGTGGCGAAGGATAAAAACCACACATTGGGTACAGGGTACACTGTTCAGGTGATGGGTGCACCAAAATCTCAGAAATCACCACTAAATAACTTACTGATGTAACCAAACACCATCTGTTCCCAAAAAACCTACTGAAATTAAAACAAACAACTGATCGAAGGAGATGGTTTGGGTTTGGCTTGGTTTTTAACTAAAGCCTTGGTGCCCTCTAGTGGGAAGATGGAGCAGCCCGGCATCCATAGTGTGTGCTCTTCAGAGCTGGGTGTCACTTTGGAATCAAGATTCTTGGGAGGCCAAGGCGGGCAGATTACCTGAGGTCAGGAGTTCATAGCCAGCCTGGCCAACGTGGTGAAACCCCGTCTCTACTAAAAATACAAAAATTAGCCAGGTGTGGTGGCATGCACCTGTAATCCCAGCTACCCAGGAGGCTGAGGCAGGAGAATCGCTGGAACTCGGGAGGCAGAGGCTGCAGTGAGCCAAGATCACGCCACTGCACTCCAGCCTGGGTGACAGAGCAAGACTCCATCTCAAAAAGATTATTCCTGTTTCCTTTTATATTTGGGGGCAGGATGTTTTCTTTTGTTTGTTTTTGTTTTGTTTTGTTTTTAAGTGTTTCTTATCTCCTCTGCTTGAAGGTCATATCCTTTTTATCTCCTTAAGCAAAGCCAGGAGCTCTGCAGAACCCCAGGAGCGAGAACAATTATGCTTAAGACACTTTTATTTTAGTTTAGTCCCAGACCCAGAGGAAAATCCTTCAAATTTCTTAAGTAAATCCTTAAAAGTGTAATTTACACTGGAGCAACTGACCTGGCATTTAAATAAACTGCAGCATGAGAAAAAAAAAAAAAAAGAGCATTATTATTTTTTTCTTTTTTCAGTGAACATTTTGTTTACATGTTTTGCAGGAAATGTACTTTCTGGTTTGTATGCATGAGATGCTGTAACAGTAACACACTTCCACGGCTTTCTCGTGTCCAATCCATGTGCAATGCAATTGCAATGAACAATCCAAGATTTTTTTACCTTCTCATCACAACCACCCTCTTCCCCAAGGTTGGAACTCCAGTTTGTTTAATTACTTCTCGCACATTCCATGAGCTAGTGGGTAACATGGACTGCTAGTCCAAACACCCATTTACCCTAGATAAGTTAAATGAAAGACATTATCATCCTTGTCTTTCTCTTATCAGTGTTCTCTGAAAGAAGTAGGTGATCAAGAAGACTATCTGCAGTGTCATGATTATTCAGCTTATTAAGTTCAAGATTTCTTGCTCTGCAGTCAAAGTTCATTTCAAAACTCTTTCACTGCCAATTCCAAATGGCTGACAGGTAGAAAAGGTGATGGCAGCAGTGGCCATAGTGGCCCTGAGTATGCTGGCATAGTCAGGTTGCCAGCATGGTTCTGATATAGCAGTTAGGAAGAAATTATTTAGGCAGATAGTGAGTCCTCGGCAAGGTTTTCCTTTTAATGAAAAGCAGCCCCCAAATCATTTTATTTTCTAACAAAGAACAGCCTGTAAAATCGAGCTGCAGACATAGGCAAGAAAGCTAGAAGCTTGCATAGGTAAATGCTGGCACTGTCCTAGCAGGAAAAGGCTACCTGGGACCCGGCATGTTCAAAACAGCAGCTCCATCTTCCCTTCTTTCCAGCCCACGTGTACAGCGAGAAGCAGACAACATGACAGCAGCCAAGTGGAAAGTCCATTTGCATAACAGGGTGGAGTGGTCAGCCTTCCCCATGCATTATGTAAAACATCACACCTGGTCCAACCAATTTGTGAGCCCTATGTAAATCAGACACCACCTCCTCAAGCCTATTTGTAAAATCCAGTGCACTCTGTAGCCAGTCCGAATTCCCATTCAGGGGCCCCTCTCTCTCACAAGAGAGAGAGAGCTGTTCTCCTTTCTTTCTTTTGCGTATTAAGCCTCTGCTCCCAAACCCACTCCTTTGTGTGTCAGAAAACAATCCATTCTGCATGAAGAATGGTAAGAGCAATTAGGAACATCATAGAACGGACCAATACCACAAATCCGTTTTGAAGGATACACAGGAATTTGTAAGGTGGTCAATGAAGCCAAGAATGTCCCAGGTAGGAATGATGTGTTGTGGTTCCTAATACCTGTTCTCCAATGAACTATGCATCTTTTTCTTCATCTTTTTCATCACTGTAGTTGTCATCATCAAAACAGCTGACATTTGTTGACAGCTCACTCTGTCTCAATATGATGGGCACTGCTGGCTGGGCTAAGTTAGCACCATACCCAAGCCACTTCTCCTTTGCTTCGTTACTAGAAAACACTAGCTTTTCTAGCTTCCCTCACAGCCTAAGATGGCCACATGACAAAATCCTCACCAATGAGATAGAAACCAGTAAAATGTTCCAAGAAGGCTTTAGTGAGGATGAATGTGGTTGGCACCATCCTTCCTGCCTCTTTTGGCTTTAAATACAGATAAGAAGTGAGAAAAATGAACTCCTACTATTTAGGGCCCTGTGAGCCTGGTATGATACTACTTAAAGCCAAACCAGTCCTATGTAATAAAGCCAGGCGTGGTGTAAGCACTTTACAAGTATTAACTAGAATTATTTGGGTTCTATGGATAATTACAGAGACCACTGGCACAATCTTATCAAACCAGTGATAAATTGTATTTTATCTGCTATAGGATTCTAGTAACGTTCCAATGGTCTAACACTGACTCAGTCTTCACAAGCTTTTAAACAAAACTAATGACAAGAAACAGAATAATTAACTCACAGCCTTTATTCTTCATCCTATGAAGAAAACCATACTACCTCAGAAGAAATTCTGGAATATACTGTGAAATAAGTAGAAGATATGTCAGGAAAGACTGGCTGATTAAACGCTCATGTAGTTGAGCATAAAAATGGAAGAACCTAGACTGTTTTAATAATCAAAAAAGCACAAATTACCATTTCCTTTTTGGTATGAATATTGAAGATCCAAAGTCAGAAACAGTGATATTAGTGGGGTAAATGTTTTTAAAAACAAATTTAAACAAACCTTTTGATTTTCCTGTATTTCTTCTCTCATATGTTGATTTACAGCAATTCTGGTTAGAGATCTGGAAAAATGAATACTAATATAATTGATCCTTCTTTAAATGTTTAGACCTTATCTGTATAATTCAATGTAATCTAATACTCTGGATAGGGAGCTAAAAACTCCAAATGCTTGGTGACTGAAAAGTGTACATTTCCATATGGTCTAATTTAGCTATCATTTGACAAAAGGATTTGGTTCAAGTGGAACGGAGGCTCTCAAAATTTCCTGTGTACTAGCTGTATGCAGTATGGATTGTCATCATTTACTACGACTTATTTTTTGAGTGAAAAAGCTGCTTTGTGTTGTTTTGTCCAATAGAGAAATTTTTCATGAAATTACCAATGTATATGTACATGAATATATGTACATGAAGAATTTTAGTTACCTGGGATCTTACCAGAGTAGAAATGTTCTAAAAAAACTGAAATCATGGCTTTACATTATTCACTCTTTTCAATTTTTTCCAACTTTTTTATTAAAAAAAAATTTTTAGAGACAGAGTCTCACTCTTCTACCCAGGCAGGACTGCAGTGGCATGATCACAGCTCACTGCAGCCTCGGATTCCTGGACTCAGGTGATTCTCCGCCTCAGCCTCTCAACTGGCTAGGACAATAGGTACACACCACCACACCCAGCTATTTTTAAATTTTCTTCTAGAGATGGAGTCTTGCTATGTTGCCCAGGTTGGTCTAAAACTCCTGGCCTCAAGTGAACCTCCTACTGCAACCTCCCAAAAGTGCTGAAATTAGAGATGCAAGTCATTGCACCCAGCCTATTCACTCTTGAAGAGTTTATAATTCACTTATAAAGACAGCAGAAATGTTTAAAATACAGTTCCTATGGACTGTATTCAACTTCATAATTCCTAAACATGGCTAGCTATATATCTGTCAATTTTATAAACAGAATTAAAACATTAAAAGATTGTTAATGCAAAGTTCTGCTTTAAGGAAAACTCAAGTAGAAAGGTGTACCTTGAAACAGCCCACAGTAAGTATGTATTATTTCCTAAAGTTTGGCAGCACTGAGATAAATTACAATTAAAACTTTAATAAGGCAAATTTTTCATTTATTTAGCAAATATTTCATTTCAACATACATTTACAGATTGTCTACCACGTGGTTTTGGAGATATGCTCAAGCCTACAATTTAGCCATTATGCAACGTTAGCATATTTTACAATTTTTTCTTAATCACAGATTAACAGCAGAGTTTTGCATCTGAACCTCTGAACAGTTATACTGACTTAACAACAGAGCTAATCAACTGTCTGATCAAGACTAGTTATTTTACTTTATTTGTATTTGATCTAATAATTTTTATAATGACCATTAATTAAAAGTATTATGGCTAAACATATATGACATTTATACACACCCATATATATTTCATGTTTTATTGTATCAATGCTGACTTCTCAAATTCCTGACTGTTTAAAGTTGACTGAAAGAGACATATCAATATATTCATTCTTAATCTGTAAATAAGGAGACAAACTCCTCTATTTCAAGGTACCACCAAAAAATTATTGGTATCTTGTAACCGACCATGTACTATTTATTTACTTGCAAAATTAAAGAATACATATATTGAAGATTCTGTAATTTGTACTATGAATAAATGTACAAAATAGTGTTTGAGACAATAAAAGGCATAGCAATCATTCTATGCTTAGGAAGGTATGCTAAGCTAGTAGACTACTCTCCAATTCCTTTCAATAAAACACTGTTGTTGCACATGCACTGTGACTTGTCACATATTTTATCTCTTTAGTATAAGCTAACTCATATTTTACTTGTTGCTCATTTTATACTCTGTCATTCCTAACCAGAATACAATTGCATCAAAGTTGTGTTATATAGCAAATTCTCATAATACACTGTAACTTGCATTGCATGCACTGGTCTCTTTAAGCTATACAAATGTATTTCCTATTGAAATGGAATATGTGTTTAACGTAACATCAGTATTCATGGAAGCAGTTCAACTAGACATCCTCTTGGCAAAAAAGTACTCCATACAATATTCCATGCAATTAAGACATTACCAATCATTTGGACTCTGAAAGGGTAAGAATATGATTTGGCAGTATTTTGGGCATAGATCTCCTACTTACAATAATACTTTTCATCATCCTCCATAAGGGGGAAAAAAAAAACACTCCTTCATTATTTATTGCTTAAACAAGTTTTTCCTTAGATTACTATGTATGATTTCCAAAAAATTTTCAGGAATTTTTTTCCTATTTGCCTCTAACAAGAGTTCTACTTTACAGTGCATACACAGATGCATGCACAAGTCAGTATTTTGCTCTAATCAAAAAAAAAAAAAAAAAAAAACCCATAATGAAAAGAGGCCCTGATTTCACAAAAGCTATATATACTAGAATTAACTGACACCTTCATCTTAAATGAAATCAGCTATTTTCATAAAACTTATTTAATAGAAAGAGTTCTGGCTACAATGAAACCAATGAACTTCAACATACCTGGCTTTTATGGGGAAGTTCTGTGAAATGTCTTTCATTAATTTAATGGCATCATAAACTGGAGTGGACATTATTTGAGAAGCTGCTTGAAAACTAAGATCTGGAAGGAAAAATATTATTAAGGAATCTAGCATAATATTAGACCTTTATAGACATTTCCATGAAATTGAAGTAATTGACTTAATTCTTCTTGCCAAATATTAGTATACAAACATGTTAAAACTGTTACATCTGCATTTTTAAGAAGTTTTAAATGTAAAGTTATCACTTATTTCCAAATAATATAAGCTTTATACTTTTATGAATGATTAATACCTATTATTTTCACAAATTACAGTATAATTTCAAGAGAGAGATATATGAAGAGAAATGCTCTCACAAAGCTTTTTTTATACTTAAAAGAAACATATGACAAAAAGTCAAAAGAATAACAAAGAGGAATAAAAAGAGCTTTAAAGAGCCAATTCTGAAAAGACCTTTAAGAAAGCCTGACTGTGTTTAACTCAGTAAACAGAAACATTCACTTTCTCTCAACATTGTTTTACCTTTATGCTGAAATAAAATCCTAAACTTAGTATTATTTTATCTGATGTAACAGTCTTATAGAAAGAAAAATGTGTATTGCTGCGGTTAGTTTCAAATATGTCAGAAGAATTAATCTTAGTATTATTACTTTGTCAAGAGTCAGAAAAGATTTAAAACTAAATTCTTTCATTACCTAATAGTGAGGCAGATTGTTTCTCCTTAATATTTCACTAAAGGTGGAATCCTAGTTTACCAAATACTACTAAAATAACTAGTTTAACACAGAAAAGCTAGTTTTATTCCTGAGTTCTCAGCGTGAAATGACGAGTCAAAGTCTACAGAGGAATGATCCTAAGGTATCCTCACATGGAATGGTAAAGTCTCACAGACCAGATGATATGGTTTGGCTACGTACTCACCCAAATCTCATCTTGAAGTGTAGCTCCCATAATTCCTATGTGTTGCGGGAGGGATCCAGTGGGAGATAAATGAATCATGGGGACAGTTTCCCCAATACTGTTCTCATGGTAGTGAATAAGTCTCACAAGATCTGATAGTTTTATAAGGGGTTTCCCTTTTCACTTAGCTGTCATTCTGTCTTGCCTACCACCATGTAAGATGTGCCTTTTGCCTTCTTTTGTAAAGTCTCCCCAGCCACAGAGAACTGTGAGTCTTAAACTGTATAACTGTACAGTAACTTGGTATCAGTAGATACCTGAAAATGTGGAAGCGACTTTGGAACTGCGTAACAGGCAGAGGTGAGAACAGTTTGGAGGGCTCAGAAGAAGACAGGAAGATGTAGGAAAGTTTGGAACTTCCTAGAGACCTTTGAACAGCTTTGACCAAAATGATCATAATGATATGGACAATGAAATCCATGCTGAGGTGGTCTCCGACGGAGATAAGGAACTTCTTGGGAACTGGAGTAAAGGTGACTCATGCCATGTTTTAGCAAAGAGACTGGCGGCATTTTGCCCCTGCCCTAGAGATCTGTTTTGAACTTGAGGGAAATGATTTACAGTATCTGGCAAAAGAAATTTCTATGCAGCAAAGCATTCAAGAGGTGACATGGGTGCTGTTAAAAGTATTCAGCTTTAAAAGGGAAACAGAACATAAAAGTTCAGAAAATTTGCAACCTGCCAATGCCATAGAAAAGACAAACCCATTTTCTGAGGAGAAATTCAACCCAGCTGCAAAAATTTGCATAGATAATGAGAAGCCAAATGTTAATCACAAAGACACTGGGGAAAGTGTCTCCAGGGCATGTCAGAGACCTTCACATGAGTCCCTCCCATCAAAGGCCTGGAGGCCTAGGAGAAAAAAATCAATTCGTGGACTGGTCCAAGGTGCCTCCTGCTGTGTGCAACCTAAGGACTTGGTGTCCTGCATCCCAGCTGCTCTAGTCATGTCTAAAAGGGGCCAAGGTACAGCTTGGGCTGTGGCTTCAGAGGGTGCAAGCTCCAAGCCTTGGTAGCTTCCACGTGGTGTTGAGCCTGTGGAAGTACAGAAATCAAGAATTGGGGTTTGGGAACATCTGCCTAGATGTCAGAGGATGTATGGAAATGTCTGGATGTCCAGACAAAAGTTTGCTACAGGGGTGGGGCCCTCATGGAGAACCTCTGCTAAGGCAGTGAGGAAGGTATATGTGGGGTTAGAGCACCCACACAGGGTCCCCACTAGGGCACTGCTTAGTGGAACTGTGAGAAGAGGGCCACCATCCTCCAGATCCCAGAATGACAGATCCACTGACAGCTTGCACCCTGTGCCTGGAAAAGCCACAGACACTCAATGCCAGCCTGTCAAAGCAGCTAGGAGAGAGGTTGTACCCTGCAAATCCATGGGACAGAGTTGCCCAAGACCACGGGAACCTACCTCTTGCATCAGCATGACCTAGATGTGAGGCATGGAATCAAAGGAGATCATTTAGGAGCTTTAAGATTTGACTGCCCTGCTGGATTTCAGACTTGCACGGGGCTGTTAGCCCTTAAATTTTGGCCAATTTCTCCCATCTGGAATGGGAGATAAATGGCTATATTTATCCAATGCCTGTACCCCCAGTGCATCTAAGAACTAACTAACTTGCTTATACAGGCTCATAGGTGGAAGGGACTTGCCTTGTCTCAGGTGAGACTTTGGACTGTGGAGTTTTGAGTTAATACTGAAATGATTTAAGATTTTGGGTGACTGTAGGGAAAGCATGATTGGTTTTGAAATGTGAGGACATGAGATTTGGGAGGGACCAGGGGCAGAATGATATGGTATGGCTGTGTCTTCATCCAAGTCTCATCTTAAATTGTGGCTCCCATAATTCCCACATGTTGTGGGGCAGACCCAGTCAGTGGGAGATAACTGAATCATGGGTCGGAGGGGGCAGTTTCCCCAATACTGTTCTCATGATAGTGAATAAGTCTCACAAGATCTGATGGTTTTATAGAGGGTCTCCCTTTTCACTTGGCTCTTATTCTCTCTTGCCTGCTGCTATGTAAGGCATGCCTTTCGCCTTCTGCCATGATTGTTATGCCTCCCCGGCCATGTGGAACTGTGAGTACATTAAACTTCTTTATCTTTATAAATTACCAGTCTTGAGTATATCTTTATTAGCAGTGTGAAAACGGACCAACACTCCAGGCTTCAAATTCTAGTTCTATCAAAAACTAGCTGAGTAACTTCAAACAGAATATCCTCAACCTGAACGTGTTTCCAGTCCCCAGTACTGCAGTGAAACTACTGTCAGTGCTCACTAATATCTCGATTGCCAAACACAATGACATTTTTAGTACTTACCTTACCTACTAGGTTCTTTTTGCAATAGGATCATTTCATGCAAATAAAAAGTACTGGTCATTTTCTCTTTCTTAAGAATCTATTTCCTTCAGCTTGTATAATGTGCTCTCCATTTCTCATCATTCCATCATGTCTTCCTTAGGAGTTTTACTTTCTACATGTGGATGAACACTAGGGCACTCTCCCTGTTGCACTGATTTTGCTAAGATTTTCAACTTTTGAAATCCTCTCTGTTTAGCTTAAGGACAGGATACTCACCCCACCACTGAACCTAACCATTTAGATATCTTACAATGACTTTAAATCAACCTTTCAACACTAGTCTCATTATTTCTGAGTCCCATATTCAGCCCCAAAGCCAGGTTACATGTTTTATATATTCTCTCTACTCAGGCTCAAGCTAGAAATCCTAGAATTACCTTTGACTCCTTTTCACCTTCTAAATACCTATATGTCTTCTACCACTATTTCAGCAATGTCTAACTAGATTTCTTGCTTTCAGTACATTCAAATACATCTTACACAGACATTAGGGAGTCAACTAGAAGTAAGCTGACTATGCATACTCTGCTTAAAGGCCTTCAAAAACACCCCATCACTTACAATCTTCTAAATTAAGCAAGGGCCCCTTAGAGAACATTTTGAAGGAGACTTAAAACATAATAATAATTTTTTTAAAGTGCTAAAATAGAGACATTAAAAAAAAACTAAAAATAACTGAGGATACTAGAAAGAGACTATCTGAAATTATGGATTTGGGAATATAAGCTGTATTGGAACTTAGAGAAGAGCTTTACACACCATGCTAAGGGGTTTAAACTTAATACTTTTAATGGATGTGCATGAAATCAGTCCTTAATAATGCAAATGACTTGGCTAGCTAGTCCTATCAACCTCTTCTTACATTCAAGTCTCTCCAGAAGTATTTGCCTTGGAAAAACAGAACTTTCTCAGATAAGAGGACTGCATACTTTGTTTGCCCTCCGCATCTATTCTTTCCTGCTCCGGGCCCCCAAAAGGCTGGCTTACCTGAACTGCATCAATAAGCTCCCTTGCCCTCAGATTTCTAGTTAGATTCAGTTAATCCAAGTCACTAATATGGGATCAGTAAGCAAGAAAATAAGGATTGGATAGTTACTACCCAGATCCCTCCCTTCTTGAGTCACAGAGGGCAGTCCCTTGGGGGACTACTGCTGTATCAAGCAGCTATCTCCACACACTCTCCAGGTTTTGGTAACCACTCCCTCCTCTTGCTCCCTCAAGCTTAGGGGTAGAAAATGTTTCCCTCTAGTTGCTAATACTGGAATAGAAGAATCCATTCCTTGTTGGTTTCCCTCAATCAGGCCTGTCTCTGTAAAAAGTCCCTTTATTAAACTTTTTTAGTTTGTGTGTGCCAACATTTTCCTGTGGGGACTAATGTAAGACCATTATTCGATTAGGGATGTACAAGTGATAAAGGCTGGCTGATTTGACACAACGCCAAAATCAGATTTTCATTTTAGAAAGATTATCTCAGTAACCTTATTGAGAATGAATTTGAACGTACTGCCTCAGTTTAGTGTTATCATGATGTCAAGTGGAAGAACAGTCACAAGGGCTGTGGTATAATAAAAGGAGGTCCAAGCATGAGGTCTAGATGAGACATTAAATAGGAAACTGTACACCAGAAGGGTCCAGGGAGAATAGATTCTATCAGTTCAAAAAGGTAGATTCTTTACAGTAAATCTATCATAACAATGGTCTTGAATCTCATTCTGCTGAATGATTTTTTCCATTGATATATTGATTTTCTAATGGTATAGGGCTTAGTTGACAGAACATTTGTATTAGGTAGGTAAAGAATAGCAGAAGTTATAAAACTTAATAGATTGGGTCTTGCACATTCTGCTATAATTTTAAAATGTAATATTCAATATTCTGTTAAGTGTATATAAAGTTTACCTAGATACCATATGGTACAGTATAAAGAATTTAACTTGGACCAAAATCTTCACTTATTAGCTGTGTGGTAACTGGCACTTAAATAAGATAGTTTATATGAAAGGACCCTGCAAACTATAATCCAGATGAAATATAAAATATTATTTGTATGTTATAAGTAAGTTATACTGGTGAGAGTGGCCTGTAAATATCCTTTTAGTTGTTATTTTAAAAACAGAAAGTACATTGGTGGTTGCCTACAACTGAGGAGTTGGGAAATGAGGAGTGACCGCTAATGAGGATGTTAATTTCTTTTGGGGATGATGAGAATTTGCTAAAATCAACTGTGCTAAGAGTGGTGGCATTCTAAAAATATGCTAAAAACTACTGAATGGTAGAATTTAAAAGGGCAAATTGAATAGTATGTGAATGTATTAGTATGAATAGTATTATTTTAGTAATGTCATTATTTACATCACTATGTCCATAATCTATATCATCTGAGATATAAAAGCTTATTTAACAAAACAGCTTATTAAGCTGTTGTATTTTAAAAAGTTGATAAAAGATGATAAAAGTTAAATGATGCAGAAAGAAGACATGTCCCCATGACCTACTAAATCATTACAAATAAAGAAGAAAAATGACAAATTGAAAAGGACTTAAAAGCCCAAACCAAATCAAATCGAATTTTGTTCACAAAATATGTGCTTGTAGGTTTTCAGCACAGAAGTTGTTCCTAACTTTGTAAAACTGCATGTCCTCCATTTGATGTTTCCATTAAAAATTTATCAATTAAACATGCAATAGTCTTAAGAGGATCTAAATTTCAAAGAGAAGAAAACTAAGATTGAGTTTCATTTTCTCCTTACCGATGAGTTAGGATTTTTAATCAGTTATAGTCTCCAAAAATGTGATTTAATACTTCAGACTAACCTGTAAATCGGTATATACTTTTGAAATAACATCAAATAACCTCACTTCATATAA